TCCAACAATGTGGGAAGTGTTGGCCAAGGATGTTGTGTCCGTTTGCATGGGGCTTTAGATCAAATAATCCTTTTAGATCAAACTCAGAGGCGTGGCGTTTCTGAAATGTTTTTTTACAAAATCAGTTTCAAGCGGGTAACTCAAAGCGCTCAGCCAAATAATCATGCTCTCTTCATCACGTAGATTAAGAAAAAATCCTCTCTGTTTGAGCTAATCAGCATTCAATAATTTTGCCCCGTATGTGATAGTGTTTGTTTATCGTCGACAACGGCAAGTGATATTGAACCTGCGGCTAGGCTGTAACTACCCATTCCTCACCGGAAAATAACACGCAAAGAACACTTTTAAATTGACAATATTTACTTATTGTGACTTGAGTAATACAAATTGCAGCTAACGTTTTATACCCCTAGTAATGGTACAAATGCAAACAATTTTGGGTAAAGTTTCTCTAAAAACAATTAATAATACTTTCTACAAGGATAAATAATCCTCTCTTGCTTTCTGAGATTAAGAATTATAGCAAGGCGATTTCCTTTGCTTTTGAAAAGCAGAAGCAGCCGAGAGGTATATTTTCTTAATAACCAGGAGGGAAAAAAAGACACGTTAAAGGAACCTGCCGCCGCAAATCAATATCGGTAAAATCGTTAACAATAAGTAAGGAGCTCGAATAAAAAAGACAGTGTGATGTATGTCTAGCTGCAGACAATACTGTTTCGGCCTTCTCATATATGTCTTTATTTTCAAAGTTTCAACCACGATCACTTTAGTTATAAAGACATTCCCATTATACATGGTAGACTTAGATCGCCTGTCTGAAAAGCCGTCGATATATATATATTCATTAAAAAGATAGTTTATCGGGAATTTCTGAAAAATTTTTCCTCTTGAGGAGGGAACGACATTTACAACAGACTGGTAGTCCTGTAAAAACTTTTTCAATTATCACAGCGCCGAAGCTGGGTCAAAAATGGCTAAAAAAGCTGTCAGACTTCAGAATTGTTAATGAACCAAGCAATTTTTTTTCCACAGTTTTTTTCTTCTATGTAAATATTGATAAGAAATTATCATAGGGAATTGGAACCGACTTCAGAATTGGGTGACAAAAAAATTTGAGATCATCAGTTTTGCTGGATGTTGACTATTTAATGAGAAAATAAAAATTAAACTGACCACAGAACAAAAAGCCGCAGAACAAAAAGCTGAGAACAAAAACGTTCTCGTCTGCTACTGTCAAATCTAACACGATGGAAACCGAAGTCAAATTATCCATCGCCATACCCATAACAATAGTAAATTATTAAAGAGAATAATGCGTAATTAGCACCACTGACACTCATAAGAATTTTGCGAGGGTGGCCGTGTACATTTGAGCCGAAAAAAACTGAACTCAAACAACAATTGCGCTACACCAGTTTCATGTTAACAGCAGATTTCAAGGAATTTAATTTTTAAAAAATCTACCTTAAAAAAGGTAAGCAAATTACTGGGTCTTGTTTAATACTATGACAAGCACGTTTCCTGTTCAGAAGAACTTAGCTAACTACGACTAGTTCCCTAAATATTATTCTCGATAGAGGTGTTACTGTCATTAGTAACCCATTTCTATTACTGTGTGAATGTCACGAGTGGTATTTGAAAAAGAAATATTAATCATAAACGAATACCAATCTTAATATGCCTCTCATAGGCCTTAGGCTTATGAAAGTGGTCTCTTGTTGGCCTACACCGACCCGGAAACCGACATGCATAGCCAAATTAAGCTATATTCTACATACAAAAACGGTTTCCTTCATAACACTCAAGGCAGGTTCTCGGAAGAGTCTCATTGAGACATTTTACAGTTGTATTTTACTGAAACCTAATGTAACAATTAGTGTTCAAGTTGGTAAAGACATAGCCTTCCACGCAGGCGTTTTTAAGGGAGCCCGTATTTCGGGAAGGACGAAATACGAGCTCCACTAAAAACAGCTGCGTGGCCAAAGGCTAGTAAAGTCAGAGCTTAATACAAGATATTTAACGACAACAGCACCAAAATGGGAGGGGTGGTGCTTCTAACCGCAAAACTTTTCCTGTAAACAGGAAATATGGAGATCTCTAGAGTCCTAGCAAAACTCCATAATTTCTTCAAATTTGATCCAGCTCCAAGAGCAAATCTAAAGACTCGTATAATTAATCGTTCTTTTTCGCGTTAAGTCCAAACATTCGATCGGAAGTTAAGTCACTGCGGCAGAGGCCTCAATGAATGATTGTGATGACGCAAAAATTTAATTGATGCAGCTTTAAGCCCTTCACTCTCAATCAAGAGGGACATGACTCACGGAAGATTACAAATTTCACTTGAAATGGCATCGTGTTCTTGAACAGGTGCCAGTGTTTTTTCTTTTCTTAATATTTTGTATCGTTTATATTGGAGGATGGATGGCAGAATGTTTGTTAGAAACTCGACCAATTCACTAGTGGAATTTACAAGTTATCTGCACATTTAATTACTTAGGTTTGCCAATGTTGGCAGGGTCTCTGAAACGGCGCCTGATGCCAATTACTGCGGGCCCGTAATAATCCCCTCCCCCCCCAACCTGAGAGACCCCCAAAACCCATCAACTCTTTACCAACAGTGGGTGAGTTTTTTAACAGCGTTCCAAAGAATTTATATGTGGAAGGGTTGTGAGAGGGGGCCTACGGTTTATTGTCCTTATCCGAGAGAGAACTGGAAAGTCCAACCGTTTGCAGACGTCCTTTCAAAAGCAGCACTTTCTGTTCTGTTAGTGTAGGTTCAGCCGGGGTTTGAACCAGCGGCCTGACCGGGGCTTATCCATCTGAGCTCACCGGGCAACGCTCTAGACTTACGGTGTTTTTAAGATAATAGACAGTATTCATATTCTCCGACAGTCCTGGGACGAGTAGGCCTTGATCATGAATGCGAGGCTCATGCGGGGAACCTCTCGCTAAGAGAACAAACAAATATGAGAAAACTGCGGCTGAGTTTGCCGAATTTAAGGAAAATTTTTAACATTGTAAAGTTCTGAAGGGCTTACACATTTAAGAGAGATCATTATTTCAAACAACAAAGGAAGACTTGCTCATTATTACCAAGAAAGACGGATCCTAATCATAATTATATTGATGAGAAGAGTGCTAATGGTGGGCGAGTTTATAATTTAATATAAATAGAGATGTTCTCAAAATCCCTGAAGCCATTTTAAGTGTAATTTTCAGTGTCCTTTAAACTTTTTGAAGAATACCTTTTATTGAAATGGACGTAATTATCGAAAGCCTGCGATAAAGTTAACAGTGATGTTGTCACATCAGCTTTGCAGTTGAAATCTTCTAACAGAGCGGATGCAAAATCTTGTGTATTTGAAGCAAACCAAACGTCTCATTCAGTGGATAATTCAATACTTATCAAGACGGGTCTTAGCGTTCTGCACACAGTCCATGTGCATTTTAAGGAAGTTACACCAGTTTGAACAAAGATGACTAGGTAAAGTTTATTTTTAAATTTATGTTACATTATCTTCGATAACAACTGTGTGAGAGTACAAAAACGTGCACGCAGTTGAACACAGAGTTTGGTACAGACGATAATACTGAGCAGTTTAAACGCACACAAGGGAAAAAGAATAATAAGAAGAATAAAATTGTATAACAAGGATTTGAGTATTGACATTTTGACACAATATACCATTTTCTTGATTACTTCTTTTTTCTTCTGTTGGCTTCGTGGCTTTTTAAATTTTCCTGTTAGTACGACCAGCTCTTCTCACAGTTTTGTTTTTTGGAACATATATCCATTTAGCTTACCGTAAGGTTTCAGCTTTTCAATCTTGCAGTTTCTTTGCTGATCTCTATCGTTTTGCAGCGATTCAGCCGGGACTAACCAATAGCTAACCAATGTATGTTTGTGTTTTTGCCAAAAAGTTCCCCGCTTTAGCCTCGCAATCATGCTGTGAAGTCTCTCGTCCCAGGGCCGTCGGGGAATACGAATATCGTCTATTGAATAATTGACGAAAAAGGAGAAACAAGAACGTGTAAGAAAGGGAACTCAGGCTAAATCACTAGATATAAATATATTGCAGAGAGCCACGTTTCAATGTTCTTCTCGATCTTGATATGGCTACCGTAGACTGCGGGAATTACCACGTTCTTAAATTGAGAGGAAACGATGAGGAGAGAATATTTACTCATGCCCACTTCCTGCAAGGCCAAGGCCAAACGTCGAATTTTTCATGAGACGAACCAAAGTACTCGAATTAACTTCATGGAAAAGTTCAACGTCTGCCTTGGTTAAGTTCGTCTGAACAAGTTTAGATCGACCATCAAGTTTTATCCGTCTGCTTTAGGTGATAACGTCTCATTGGTTCCACGCCGCTTCATTAACATAATTTAGGTAATTTAATTTACGTCGAGGAAAGTTACAATTTGCATCGTCTCATGGCAATTGTTCGACTTTTTGTCTTAGATCCAGAGCCATCTGACCATTTTAAATACAGAATGAACAAAGCAATTTACCTAGAATTAATATCATTGTGGAAATCAAACTTTGCTTTTGAAAAGATAGTTGAAACGTACACTTTTTCGGTTCTATAGAGTCATAGTCAAGTAATGACATTTTACAGGAGGGCAACTTAAACTAAGACTGTAAATATCGTTATGTAAGTTTCAACTATCTTATTGTAAAAACCAAAATTTGGTTTCTACAATGATACGAGTTCTCGGTCATGCTTTCTTCATTTTGTGTTCTCCAGACGTGTAGCATTCGTTTGCGAAAAACAAGCTCTTTGTATGAAAAGATATCTGGGAATGTTGCGATCATGTATCAACGAGTCTCTTATGTGCTCCCACAGCTAAAGAAAGAATTTGTCTCCCCATCAGTGCTGTCTTGATCACATATGTAGATACACGAGCGGGGACGTGCCAACAAATCTGCGCAGAATTCATACAAGTTTCACTTCTCAGATCCATTAATCAAGAACCATACGGTTTTGTTCTCCAAAGTAATGGCCATAAGGCAAGTCATCCACATCACGTTACTTTATCTGCTGAGCCATATATTCATCGGGGTGGTTTCTGAACGTTGTATCAAAGGTGGTTCCGGAGAATCCATTTATGGCTGGAAGTTACAAGGGCACATTTACAAGACTATGAAGGCAAACTTCGGATATGAGTGCTTACTTATCTGTCGTCGGGACAACAGATGTCAGAGTTTCAACTGGGTTATCTCCCTTAACATGTGTGAGTTCAGTGATAGAACCAAAGAAGCCAGATCTGAGGACTTTGTTCCGGACCCAGATAGATATTATTATAGAAGAGACATGAATCGAGGTAAAATGAGTTTGGTTGCCTTTTATTGGGGATATGGTAGATATTTGGGATATGGTAGATATCTGATACGAACCTTTTAATATCTTTTACTTTCAAAAACCAAAACCCTGAAATCCTTTCACAGCAGCAAATCGATAAGACTAGCCTTTAGTTTTGAAACCACAGAAAAAGTTCATTTTTACATACATTGCTAACTAACGTTACATATTTTCCTTTCAGCACCTCTTGGATCCTCTCCTGAGCTCCCAGCGGAAACGTGTACTGAGATCAAAGCGAGCGAAGAAGAAGCAGCGAGCCAGAAGTACTGGCTGAGTATCATCACACCTGGTTTCCCTGTGCTTGCATATTGTGATATGGAGACCGAAGGCAAGTTTTAAACTAACACGCTAGTTCCTGTTCGGTAAAACTACTAGTCCAGCGATGAAAAAACCTGCGATAATTATGATCCACCCTTGCTTGCGCTTGCCGCATGTAAAAAGACAGAAAGAATGTATAACTTGGTTTAGTTAAAGTGCCCTTATTCTTTTTCAAGATAGCCTATAACGTCAGCTTACTAAAAGTTACGTACTTGAAGTTGTTTCTTTTTATTCTTATTGCAAAATATGGGCCAGAAAGGATTATTTTGCTATTTTTGAGTTTTAAACAATGATCTGAAGAGTTGAGTTTACAGTTAGCATTCGAGCTTGCTATTTTTAAATGGCTAAAACCCTTTCTATCTCTAATTCCCCAACCCCAAGACGAGAGGCAAGTGTTTCCTTCCAGGCTCCTTTAACAATGTATCTCCTGTGTATGATTAATGTTTTAAAGGCGTTCCTTTTTGCATTCATAGATATCGACGAGTGCAGCGCTATTCCCTCGGTTTGTGATGTGAATGCAAACTGCCAGAACAAGGTCGGCTCTTATCTCTGTACATGCAAACCTGGTTTTGTTGGAGACGGAAAAACGTGCAGCAGAGGTATTAATCTCCTCTAAACTTCTATAATCCTTGCAATATCAACACGCCTAACACGAGGTTTCGAATACATCGTGTACTTGAGCCGTTGTTTGGTTCAATACTTAATGGAGCCGAAAATTTCATTTTGCAGTGCAAATAGTGGCATCATGCAGTGACATGAAAAGAATCGATAACGATGTAACTGATGGAACCTACAATTTAACTTCACTTGCCTGGAAAATCTCAGTAGGTGCAAACTGTTTTTTCATTTGTTAATGTGAAGCAATAGACCTTTTTAGTTTGTGTTTTGTTTACCCATTTCAGACCACGTGATGGTACCAAAGAAAACTGTTTCTTTCAAATGCCGTCCTGTCCACGTGCATAAATTAATATATTGAGTATGAAAACACAAAAGGCAAATTCCCTTTAGAACATCACGTGATCTGACCTTACAAGCTGAAAAGGTTTATTGTTGCTTATTACAAAGCCTTTTCATATGAACTTGCGCCGTCCGCCATGTTAGTGTACCGGAACAATGCGTCGAAGCCAAAATCACGCTTTGTTTAGGGCATACATGCACAATAAGCAAGCGTTCACGTTTTCTTCGGCTCTCCTAAAATGAGGAAACTATAGCTTACGTGACAGTAAGCGCGTTTCTATCGGAGTCACGTGTTTCTAGTTTAAATAAATAAGGGAAACGACTTTTCGATCGAATTTTCCTCAAGTTCTAGCTAGAAGTCGAGAGATCGATAGATCGGAAGGGTTCTATTGTATCATGATTGTATCTTTGGAGCGTCGTTTCGACATCGCCGCCATTCCTCTAGGTCTTAGTCCTTTCGCGGTCTAAGCAATGTTTTCGATTTGTGTAAGCCAATCAGATTACAGGAAATCATATATCCGGTTCTGTTTGTGGCCCCCACTAATAAAACGGCGGCCATGTGGATGACCCATACCATTTCTATGGGAGTTGAACTATTTTCGTATGCAAGCGCTTTCTTTTGTCGCAATAAATTTACATCGCTACTGGCCACTTGGGTGAAAACTTTCTATAGAAAACACTGCACAACTAATCATGTTACCTCATACTATGTCATTGATTTTATCTATTAAGGTTTACTGTGATATGACATCTTCTGGCTATGGATGGACCCTCATCGCTCGGTTCTCGAACAATGACACCAAACGTTGGATGAATGACACCGGGTTTTGGTGGTACGACAGAAATATTAGTTTTGGGATAACGACTGATTCATCGCACAATGCTGACATGATCTCTCCAGCATTCTGGCTGGTCAGAGGTAACGAGCTGAAAATCACGCGCAGTGATGACCATCAACATGTCGCTCTATTGCAAACCACTGGAAACTGTTTGGGGGGACAGACATTCAGATCGAAAATAACCACTTATGGTAACTTCAGGGATGGTGCCATTTGGGCAAGTAACCGATGTCTGGGTCATTGTACTGTTCAGTATGGCGGTCAGTACGCAACAACTGGAGGCTTCAAACACGCAACATGTACAGGAAACATCCAAGGTTCTAATGCAATCGGCTTCTGGTGTGACTGGGACGCAGGTGATGGAGCGGTGATGATGATTGGTGGAGGAGGCAACACCTGTTCACGTGCTGACCACGGAATTGGAATAACAGAAGCTAACGCGGCATCTTTTGATAAAGCTGGAACCCAAGAACACGATTTTGGGGATGAGGCTAACTCGGCACAAGATAAAACATACTCCCTAAACCTGTGGATACGATAATTTAATATCCTTTTTGGAGCACACAGCTCTAGCATGGTCATTAAGCTGACTAAATGAGAGTTATCGTGCCCAGTCTAGCAAGTTGTTCTTTGTGCCATTGTTTGTTCATAAATGCAACCCAAAATAAGTCCACTTTCTTTCTTATTGACAAAAATACTCCTTCGCATTTGAATCTGAGTTTTTTACCATGCAATAGTTAAGAGTCCTGAAATCTTAAATATCAGACAGTTGTCCACAACGTAGCCTACGTACGCACACGTGCCTTGGGTTGTGAGAGGCGACAACCGGAAACACGTCTTCCCTTTTACTGTATGGTATCTACTAATCGAAGTTTTGTTATGCTCAAATAACTATTTATAGTATTATGTTAACATACAGTCCATAGCTAACCTAGTAATTGAATGATCATTTTTACAAGAATCAATCAATTATTACGTTTTATATATGTGACTTAATGAACCGATGATGAAATGTAACCCAAGGTGATCCTTTGTTGTTATTGTTATCATTACTTTGAATTCTTAATACTTTCTTTATTCCAGTAGTGTAAATTGTTCATTATGGCTATCAGCATTTTATTAAAAGCTTGTTGTTGCTGTTATTGTTGTTGTTAACTTTCTCGTTACGGTGCTTGGATCGAGGTTTGAATCAGATCAGTAACGTTTTTACTTGATAAAGAGGTGATGGAAACATTTCTTCAGTTCTTATCATTTCAAATCTTTGAAAAAGCCAATATAATTTGAAAAGGTGTGTCAAGAACTGACCAAGACAGCTGGATACCACTACTGTAACTGACAGCTTCAAATTTCATTCCATTGCTGACCTCTTTTCATAGCCTGTTATAAGCACGAAAGGGTGTTGGGAGAATTCGAGACAGTTATGCAAACCCGAGGCGACGTCGAGTTTGCATGACTATCGAGAATTCTCCCAGCCCCTGGAGTGTTTATATCAGGCTATGCATGCACAGTAAAAAAGTTTTCTATTGCTTTTTTTTAAATCGGTCCGTTTAAGCGAAATAAAAATTGATACAGCATGTTTCTAAAGATTTCTCAAGTTTCAGTCGAAGAGGAAATGAGGCAAGTAAAGTAAACTTGTCGAGTTCGCAACTCAAAACTGGTTTCAAATTCGTACTTGCGTGACTAGCGCGTGCACAGCAAAACATCTTGACGTCGCAACTGTGCGTACATACTCATTCTAACACGCCTCTCGGCTAAAGAGAGCGCGCGTACTACCTTAGTTATTTTGTAAAATCTGGTTGAGCTTGATCGAATCCTGACATAATTAGGGACGAGCAACGGCACATATGAATTAAAATGGCCGAACTACCGAAAAACTTTAACGCCTGGAACAGGCTAGGTCAACCCTGAGTACCACAGGAGACGAAAAGAAACAAAGGTCTCCCAAAATAAGGAGTTGCTTTCTCCTAACGTCGAACGTAATTACGCAATTAATCCCGTACTTATATATTGCTTGTTTTTTGTTAATATTTTCTATTGGACTGATGGACAGACGAAAAATGTCTTCGAAACTTAAACGTTGCTTTATTATTAATATTATTATTATTATTATTATTATTTGGATGCAAAACATGGGCTTTTGTTGGTGATATTGCTTAACCAGGCGATTTTGATAACTATTCAATTCAGCTGTTAAGTTATATTGCATTTTGATGGGCACTTTACACTTAATGAAATGTGATATATTGTGACTAGCAATACAGTGTTCCTAGACCTAATTACTTACTTACTGTTACGTGCAAGAATTTCTCCGCTAAAAAGGCAGCTGCACACTCACAGTCTTATGTGGAACAGTTCGAAGCAGTTATCTTGAATTAAACTCTGTATTAAAAGTCAAATTTGATAGAACTTAGAAACCACAAGATTCTCTCTTGCACAAACCTATTAAACCCATTAAAGAGTGACGATCTTCCGCTAAAATGAATTTAGCCGCAACCGTCTCAACTGCCGTAGTGTATTTCAAACAAATTCTAATACATGAGAGCCAGCAAAGATGCCGTGCTTTTATTTCAAAGAGGTCAAAGTTTACCCGTATTGCTCACAATATCACACATATTACCTTACCATCAAAACATTTGTGGCCGAATACTGCAAAACAAAAGGCACAATAATTGAGCTTACATATCTCATAAACCTCTCTCAGCTTGCGAGGTAAATATAGCGACTTGTTACATTCCTAAACTTTCACTCAACTAAACAGGGATTGCCATTGGTTGATTCTTGGTCACGTGGCCTTGACTAAAATCAAATGTATCCCGTCCGATCGTGATACATTAAGCAATGTATCCCGCTCGGGATACATTACAGCACGTGATCAAAGCATTGTGGAAAGTGGACTCACAGAAGGCGGGGAAAACACTACCAGTTTTCTTTTTCGTGAATTTCGCGAAAGAACACAACAACACAAACGCGAAGCCTCAAGTTAAAAAGCAAAGTACGATTTTTAAAGTTATTCCAGAAGAGAAATAGCAGCTAGTGGAGAAAAAAGATGCAGATAATACAAGGAAAGTAATTCGTAAAACATTCATTCAGTGGTTTTGAGAATTAAATTTGTGTTGTTATAGGTATCGAATCGACTGTTTTGGTTCTGTCAGACCGGTTATTTTTCTTGCTGCGGTTGAAGTGAAAGTCTAGAAATATAACAAAACACTTAATGTCAGGTCGCTCGGAAAACCAGTTAGTTTTGTTTTCCCTCGAGTTTTTCCACGAACAATGAGAGCGTGCTTATCTCTATTAGATAATCATACTGATCTGTGATAATGTATACAAAAAACAAAGAAATAAAACCATGTTTATCACATAAAAACTATCATATCATTTCATGTCATATGACATCTCTGAAAGTATCTGAGACCAATTTGTGATATTCCTTAACAACATCGAACATGAAACCATGTTTATCACATGTCATAGGAGTTTGAAGTATGAATGACCAGGGCGGCTGTTGACATATGTTGACATGAACATGATGAACTCTCTCTGTCTTGCTGAGGCATTCATTCAACCCACTTTGCCTATATTAATGATCCCAGCGGTGAAGTTAACGTTCACATTAACTCTCATTACTCTCCTGAACCTTTTGTTTTTAACACTTCGTGGTTGCTATATACTCAACAAGGTCACAATATCTAGCACTGATATTAGTTCCAGCATTTTCATTCTATAGCTATCATGATCAGTGAGATATCGAAAGAGGCAGTCTCCAGGCAATTACTACTACTGCAATTAGTAGGCCCGCTCCCGTGCAATTCCACAATTGGTTTGGACGCCAATAATCCAACAGTGTATACCAACTGCAGAACTGTTTAGGGCAAGCCACCCATAATATGAGCACAGTTGCCGACATGATGTATGTATTGCTAAGCCGAGAACAACGTCAAAGAAATGTAATCCGTTACATGAGAAATTTAACTCAAAAGGTTTAAAGAGATAATAAATCATGTACAGTATCTTCGAACGTCAAACTCATTAACTAGGCTAATTAATGTCATTACTGTCAAACTGATTAACCGTAAACACAAAAAAATTTTGGACTGTTTATTTTGTTATGACCAATCACAGCAAAAACCAGGACGTGCGAGCAAACCACAAAATATTCACAAGTTAATCACCATTGTTGCTTGCGTTTTAGTTTACTCACGCCTGGGTGGCTCTTCTTTTAAAACACATTATTATTCATTCAAAACATTTCCCCAATTGTGATTGGCTAAAAGAACACGCATAATTCACCTTAACCAGTTACTGATTACCAAATTTGGAAGAATTTTGTGTTTCACGAGGAAATGACGTCAAAAATGTAGCCTTCTACAGGTTAACCGAGAAGACCTGGGGACGAGGTTGAGTTGTTTTCGTTGTGAAAACTAAAATGACGGACACTTCACTCGTTTCAAGAGTAAGAACTACAGCTGCAGCTAGGCGAAATAATGGCTAAACACATAGCAAAAACAGCAAGAAGACAACTAAGAGGGCGACATCTGCTATTTGAAGAATATTTGCGGAGCTGGACAAACCTAAACGTACACTATCGAAGATAAACTTAACATCGATGCAAGTAAGCATGTTTTAGCTATGTTTTAAAACTAGGAATTATTTTAAATGAATAATAAAGTAATTAATTAATTTGGCTTTCCTAGGGTATGAAGAATTAAGTAGATCTGGGAGGGTGTTATCCACCTCGGCCTTCGACCTCTGTGAATAACACCCTCCTCGATCTGCTTAATTCTCCATATCCTACTCAGCCTCATTCATTAATTGCTAAGGGAGCATTCATAATTTACCTAGAGGGTGGGCTATGATGATTTTGAGGGGGGGGGGGTCACTCTTTTTCCCAATAATTTACCTAGAGGGTGGGCTATGATGATTTTGAGGGGGGGGGGTCACTCTTTTTCCCTACTATGATTTAGGGGGGGCTGTGGAAAATTTCCAACGAAAATTACATCGAGCATAGCGGGGGGGCGGGGCAACCATTTTTTTCCTGAAAAAGAAAAGGAAATGAAAATATGCTGTTGGACGCTCTTATAATTCCTGTCTTTTATTTAATTTCGACAAAATGTTGATACAGAACTAGAGTATGAAACTTGATGCATGACGCCCACTTCTTGCGCTTTCTTGTTACTTAGTGCAAGTTGTTACTGATTTACTATGTTAATTACTAATAAAGCTCAATATACCTGTCACAATACTTTGATATGGCTAAGGGTGAGTTTGACATGTTGTAGTTATGTGCTGGGGGAGGGGGGGGCTACGATATTTTCCTTTGATAAATCAACATCTCTTGAGGGGGGGGGGCCAGAAAAACACCCCTGAGATGATCAGGGGGGGCTTCAAAAAAATGAAAGGAAAAAATAAGGAAATCATCATAGCCCACCCTCTAGATAAATTATGAATGCTTCCTAAATATAACATTCCAGAAACATACCTTAAGTGTTCACGGTTTTGTGAGCTGTACAATAAAACGTGAACAGTTATTTTCGTAAGTTATAT